AAGCTTCGCCAGCCCATCAAGAGTGTTTTCTCACTGTTTTTTTTTTTCTCTCTCTTTTTTTTTTAAGGCATTGCCATTATTTATTTATTTTTAATTTTTTGGCTGCACCGCGTGGCATGTGGGGTCTTAGTTCCCCACCAGATTGAACCCAGGCCCCCTGCACACTGTTTTTTTTCTTTCTGGCTGAGTGGCATGTGGGATCTTAGTTCTCCACCCAGGACTCCAACCCCCTCCCCCTGTAGTGGAAGTGCACCGGATAGCCAGGGACGTCCATTTACCAGGCACCTTTATCCTGGGGAAGGTCTCTGATTGGCCTGTTTGAAGTCAGTTTCCGCCCCTGGGCCACCCCCAGTGCCAAGGAGATGACATATTGTAATAAACCAGTACTGGTCACACGCTCTCACATGAGTCCACCGGGCAGAGAAGAATGATGGGAAATTTCACTTGCTGGGAACAAATTGAAAACTCTTACAGTCCACCATGCAGATGCTGGTATCCCCAGCATTTTAAAATAAACTCCCAATTTGCCCTTAACATACGTTCAGAAAGTGCATGAATTTTAAGTGTGCAGTCCAATGAATTTTCACTATTGAACATCACCCATAGAACGAATGCCTTGATCAGGAGACAAAACACTGCCAATATCCTTGAAATCTACCTTATGCTTCCTTCCAATCACCACTCTCCTGACCACCCCCACCCTGAAAAGGTAAAACTGTCTTGATTTCTAATACAATTAATTTGATCAATTTGGGAACTTAATATAAATGCTGTCATTCATTATCATTCCTTTATGCCTAGTTTCTTATACTCAATATTATGTTTATGAAATCTATCCACATTGTTGCATGTAGACACAAAGCATTCATTTCATAGTTGTATAGCGTTCCATTCATTCATATTGAATGAATATACCAAAATTTGTTTATCCACCTTAGAGGCTTTACATAGGCATGTATATCTTTGAATTTTTCCCTGAATTGTCTTTCTTTGAATACATGTGTAAATGCTGGTTACTAATTAATACTCAAGGTTGAGCTTAAAAGCACATTTTGTGGAAAGGTTTACACAAAGATAAGGATGCCCTGTGCACTTGGGGTCCGCCTTTCCTCGCTTCTCTATGTCCTGGCAACAATCGCTTGGCAACACCGTCCTCTGGTGGTGGCTTTCTGAACTGCAACCATGGCTCATAGACTAAATGCTCAACAGGCTTTTCAAAGCATTACATAAAGTACCCAATGATCATTTGTGCAAACGAAAGTGTTCCATCTGCATCTCACAATAAGGATACAGGTCCATATTCAAAATAATAATGAAAGTTTAAAATATCAACTACCATTTCTCAAGTGCCTTCTATGTGTCAGATAATATGTCAACCTCAACACGTATAGTATTCTGTGTAATCCTTATAGCAAGGCTGTGAAGTGGTTATTGTTGTCTTTTTTCTGCGGTGAGAGAACAGACTTAAGCAAGTTCAATAATCATCTCAAGGTATGCTTGCGGTATAAGCCTCACTGTGCAGGACTCCACTCCAGGTTCACTCCACCAGACCCCTCCCTGAGGAGGGCTGGGGCTGGAGAAGAGCTTGTGCCCCTCCTGGGGCTCTCTGCTGGAAGGCAAGTGCTTCCAGCTCCTATTCTCACATCTCCCTCTCTGCCCAAGAGGAAGGGACATGCACTCCTGCTTCCCCCCAGCCCCCTGTTCCCATGAGGGGACCTGTTGTTTTCGTGATCGGCAGAAGCCTGAGATTTGACTGGGTCATGCTGAACTTGAGGATGGCTTAATACACCCAAAGGTTAAGAGTGATTCTTAACTTAACATGTGGGTGTTACTCCATCTTTCTGCACCTGTGTAGCATCAGGTCAGCCTCTCTTCTGTCCTTGCTAACTGCTGCAGACGAGGTGTTAGGGAAGATGACAAGCCTTTCCTGCTTTGCTAGGGACTCCCCCTTTTTACACTGAAATTCCCGAGTCACAGGAACCGCGTCAGTCCCCAAGCGAGTTGACTTCCCTTCTCAATCGTGGGCAGGTTGGGCCCAAGTTGCACCACAGACACAGCTGTTCTAGATTCACTAAGAGGCTGAGACATTCTTTAGGCTTCCTGGTTGGTGACACATGAGCTAATCAACAATCAGTAAGCACCAATAGGGACTTCCCAGGTGGCTCAGTGGTATCGAATTCGCATGCAATGCTGGAGATGCAGGTTTTGATTCCCAAGTTGGAAAGATGACCTGGAGAAGGAAATGGCAACCCACTCCAGTTTTCTTCCCTGGGAAATCCCATGGATAGAGCAGCCTGGCAGGCTACAGTCCATGGGGTCGCAAACGAGTCTGACACAATTTAGGGAAAACCCAGATAGAGTGGGGCTGGTGGGGAGTCTGGGTAGTCAAGGGGTCTGGGGTTAGAGTTTCACCTCTCTCACTCTGACTAGCTGCTGGGGGAGGTGAAACAGGCTAATATACTCACAAACACACTCTCCTGCATCAGGTAAGGCCCTGAGCCTCACCCCAGCCCATTCTAAGGACTGTGGTACTTCTTGGCTTTCTCTGTGTTTATTGAAAGCAACTTTAAAAAGATGCACAATGTGAGAGTTGTGAGTTAAGTTTTATTTAGGGCAAGATGAGTGCTGCAGCCAGGGAAACAGCACCTCAGATAGCTCTGAGAGACTGCTTCAAAGTTGTGGGGGAAGGTCACTATGAATGATTTTGGTGAAGGAGTGTGTGCTGTGCTGTGCTAAGTCACTTCAATTGTGTCCAACTCTTCAAGACACTATGGACTGTAGGTCACCAGGCTCCTCTGTCCTTGGGTTTCTCCAGACAAGAATAGTGAAGTGGGTTGCCATTTCATACTCCAGGGGATCTTCCCAACCCAGGGATTGAACCTGTGTCTCTTACACAGGCAGGTGGGTTCTTTACCACTAGAACCACCTGAAGGGGGAGTTTATGAAAGCAAGCATGTGTCTTACAAAAGGCTTTCTGCTAGTCATGAGGAGCTGATGTCACCATGAAGGAATTTAGTACTTTTCCAGGTATGAANCATGTAGCTGAGAGAGAAGAGAATGCCTATTACTGGAAGATATCTCAGTCCAGTTGGACTAATTTTTGAAGTAAACTATGAGCTCAAGAAAAATATATGTAATAAAAGCCTTTGCTTTTTTTCTCAAAAAAGATTACTTACTTAAAAAACATTTCTTTAAGAGCACATACCACGTAGCTAGGATTTTACATGCATCATACCACTTATTCGTTGCAACAATTCTGTTGTGAAAATGTCAGTACCCTCAATGTTATTAACTTAACCTCCCAAAGAGGATAAGGTCACTTATCTAAGATAACCCAGCCGCTAAGTGGCAGAACTGATTCTAGATGCCCTGCACCTAGCTGACTTTTACTAAGTTAAGTCCTCTCTGTGCCTCTGTTTTCTGCTCCATGTACTGGAGCAATTCCTGCCATGGTTAATGCACAGTCAGAACATTAGATGCATGACAGTGACAGAAGAAGTAATTATGAGACTCAAAAGGAAAAGTAGTTTTGAAAGCAAACAGTGTTACTAAATTTTACAGAGTATTGGTAAATATTGTTGTTGTTCAGTCACCCAGTCATGTCTGACACTTTGAGACCCATGGACTGCAGCACGTCAGGCTTCACCATCTCCCAGAGTTTGCTCAAACTCATGTCCATTGAGTTGGTGATGCCATCCAACCATCTCATCCTCTGTTGCCTCCTTCTCCTCCTGCCTTCAATCTCTCCCAGCATCAGGGTCTTTTCCAAGGAGTCGGCTCTTCGAAGCAGGTGGCCAAATTACTGGAGCTTCAGCTCAGTCTTTCCAATGAATGTTCAGGGCTGATTTCTTTTAGGCTTGACTTGTTTGATTTCCTTGATGTCCAACGGACTCTCAAAAGTCTTCTCCAGCACCACAGTTTGAAAGCATCAATCCTTCAATGCTCAGCCTTCTTTATGGTCCAACTCTCACATCCATTTAGGCCAAGTTAATCCTTCACAATATAACAGAGAAAGTTCCAAAATAAGTGCCTAAAGATGCAGGGTGGTGTGGCTGTTATGAGCCTGGCATTGATTTTAAAGCCCAGAGTTTCACCTCTGGCTTTGCCACTTCTGAGTTTAGTGATCTGAGCAAGTTGCTTAACTCTGGTAGATGCCCACCAATCAAAGACCCCCAGGAACATCACTGTAGTTGAACACATTTGACTTTATTGGTACTTGTTGCAACCAATGAGATCACACTCTACGGGGAACCATGGAGTGTCTCAGTAAGTGGGAAGCAGGAGGGCTTTATTGTAGGATTTGGGCTTGTGTGAGGTGATTTACAGTGTAAAATATTGATAAACAGAAACCTCAGAGTCAGGAGGCCAGACAAGGGAGCTTTCAGACTCTCCAGTAATAGCAGAGCCCAACAGGAAGAAGAAAGACTCTTTTCTGGAAAAGACTTAGCCAATGAAAAGTCATGGACTCTGCTTACTTAAGCCTTCCCACCTTCCTTTTCCTCTTTGTAAAAGCAGTCTCCTTCCCTTCCATTAAAATGTCAGCCATTTGCTTTGCACAAATTGACAAGCTAATCCTAATATTCATATAGAAATTCAAGGGACCCTGAATAACCAGTACAATCTTGAAAAGGAAGAACCAAGTTATAGGACTCATAAAAGACTTGCTACAAAACTACGGTAATCAAGGCAGTATGACATCAGCATAAAGACAGACAAACAGATCCATGAAATAAAATCAGAATCCAGAAATAGACCCTCACATTTATAGCTAATTTATTTTCAACAAAGGTGTCAAGACAATACAATGGGAAAAGAACAGCCTTCCCAACAAATGGTTTTGGAAGAATTGGATATCCACTGGATATGCAAAAGAATGGAAATTGAACTACACTTCACACATATACAAATATTAATTCAAAATGGATCAAAGACCGAACCCTAAAACTATAAAACCATTAGAAGAAAACATAGATGTAAATCTTCATGACCTTGGATTAGGCAATGGCTTTTTAAATATGACACCAAAAGCACAAGCAGTAAAAGAAAATAAAGATAAACTGGGAATCACCAAAATCCAAAACTTCTGTGCTTCAGAGGATAGCTTCAAGAAAGTGAAAAGACAACCCACGGACAGGGAGAAAAACTTTGCAACTCCTACATCAAATGAGAGAACACATAAAGAATTTTTCCAGTACAACAAAGAGACAAATAATCCAATTAAAATGGGAAAAATCTCCAAATAGATATTTCTCTAAAGAAGATACACAAAAGGCCAAAAAGTATGTGAAAAACTTAACATTGACATTACAAAAATGCATACAAGATACCACTTGACACTCACTAAGATAGTTATAATAATAAATAAAAGACAGACAATGACAAGAGTTGGCAAAGGTGTGGAGAAAGCAGAACCCTCATACAATGCTGACAGGAATGCAAAATGGTGCAGCTACTTTGGAAAATGGTCTGGCAGTTCCTCAAAAGATTAAGCAGAAAATTACCATATGACCCAACTTCACTCCTAGGTATATATGCAGGAGAATTAAAAACATGGTCCACACAAAAAATCTGTATATGAATGTTCACAGCAGCATTATTTATAATAACCAAAAAAAGAAGAAACAATCCAAATGTCCATCAAACCATGAATAAAGTGTGATATACCTACACAATGGAGTTATTATACAACCACAAAAGGGATGAAGTTCTGGCACCTGCTACAACATGGACAAATCTTGAAAATATTATGCTGAAAGAAAACTGACACAAAAGGCCACATATGTGTGACTGTATGATTCATATTGTATGATTCCATTTATATTGTATGATTCCACACATACTGTATGATTCCATTTATATGAAGTGTTTAAGCAAATCTAAAGAAACAGAGAACAGGTTAGGGGTTGCCTAGGGCTAGAGTGGGGGTGGTTTGAGGTTGACAGTTAAGGGGTAATGGGTTTCTTTGGGGTTAATGAAAATGTTCTCAAATTGATTGCAGTTTCTTAATATTGGGGTGGCCAAAATGTTTGAGGTTTTCCATAAGATGTTATAGAAAAATTTGAATGAACTTTTTGGCCAACCCAGTATATAGTAAAAGCCATTGCATGCATACTTCAGATGAATGAACTATATGGCATGTGGATCGTATCTCAATAATGGTGCTCTGAAATAGCAGAAACTGAGGAGGACAAGGAGGAACAAAGGCAGTAAGAGAAGCCTGTCAGGATGGACTGTGACTCCTGATACCTAGAGCCACCTCTGAGGCAGGCCCTTGCCCTGCCCGTCTAGTACCTCCAGCTTATACTGCAAATTCATGTTGTTCAGGCATGAGAAGGACTGCATGTGAATGTCTGGTTGGACCAGCTGTTTTCACACTGGCCTGGTGAGGAGTTTGTTTTCAGGTCCTCTCAAACCAACTCTGAAAATGAGGGAGAACTCTGGGTGGGATGCAGGCCCGGGAGAACCCGGGAACTTCAGCCCCACAAGGGCTGTGCCCACTGTAGGTGGGCTGAGCCCCTGGGCCCTGGAGGGGTCAGTGAGGCCCTCAAAACCCGGGGCCCCTGAGAAGTCTCAAGTCTGCACCCTTGGAGGCCTGGCCTCTGGGGCCCGGTTCTTCAGAACGGTCCTCAAGGCCTGCAGGATGGTGTCCTGGCTGCTCCGTACATTGTAGTCACAGAGCTGCACCAGGCGGTCGAAGTCTTCCTCCTTGTAGGTCATGTTGAACATGGAATAGGGCGAGGAGACTCCAGTGAGATCTATCTGGCCGGCCGAGAGTTCTGCGGGGCCACGCTGGACACCTGCCCAGGGGTGGGAGGGGGTTAGGCACAGGGACGGGGGCACCGGGGCCTCCACAGCTGGCAAGACTGTTCTTGGCAGCTGGGCACAGGGCTGAGCTGCTCCCCACTGAAGGGGCTCCATGCTTTCCTCCCAGCTCTGTGTCCTCTGCCCAGAACTCTAACTGTGACTGGCAGGACGCTATGTGGAGATATGAAGCGTGCGCTGCTCCCCATACTTCCTCGCAGCCACCTCCTGGTACCCACCTCAGCCTCAGGGATAAGGCGGAAGCAGCAGATAAAGTCCATTAGCTTAGTGAATGGTTTCTTAGAATTCATGATGGAAACAAACATCTGAAAACCTAAGAGTTTTTGCTTTGCAAGAAACAGTCTTTGTTGAGAAAGAAAGAATTCCAAGATACAGACTGAGCACATTAAGAGTAAAGCTGGGGCTTCCCTCCTGGCTCAGTGGTAAAGAATCTGCCTGCTAATGTAGTGGACATGGGTTCGATTCCTGGTCAGGGAAGATTCCACATGCTTTTGAGTAACTAAGCCCATGTACCACAACTACTGAAAGGCCCATGCTTCAAAACAAAAGAAACCACTGCAATGAGAGGCCCGAGCACTGCAACTAGAGAGTAGCAGCTCCCGTTGGCCACAACTAGAGAAAAGCCTGTGCAGCAATGAAGACCCAGCACAGTCAAAAATAAATAAAAATTATAAAAAACAAAACGAAAAGAGTAAAGCTGGGGGACTTCCTTGGCTTCCAGCGGCTAAGATTCCTTGCTCCTAATGCTGGAGGCATGGATTTGATCCCTGGTCAGAGAACTAGGTTCCACAAGCCACAACTGAGACCTGGCATAGCCAAATAAATAGAAAATGTTTTTAAAAAAGAGTAAAGTTGGAAGTTTCAGAATTATGGCGAGAACTGTTAATAGAAAGCCAAAAATATGTACAAAGGCAGAATTTGACATTCCCATCAAAAGGTCATAAAACTCTGACCAGTTGGTGGGAGGCAAGGGTTACAGAGACTGTGATGAGGGTTCAGATTTCAGGCACCCTGGAGTAGAGACCCAGTTCCCTCAGAAAGAACCCCAGAATGGGCTGCAGCAGAATGATAGGGAGGCCAACTGTGAGCCCAGGCAGGCTTAGGGGAAGAGAGAGGACTGGGGTCTCTCTCTCCTAGCTGTCCAACCTGGGGGGCCATTAGAAAATCCTTCAACTGGTAGCACTTATGGAGGTGACAGTGTGGGGATCCCCACTTTCCGCTCCCGCCCCTCCCCCCCGGCCCACAGAGTAGGGAGCAGAGCCCAGCTGTAGTGAGCGGCATCAGGCTAGGGGAGGCCAGCGGAGCCTGGGGTCATGACAAAGAGATGCGCAGTCCAGTGACTTTGCAGGGATCTGGGCATGCGCCACAGGCCAGGGTTCTGCCATGTCCCATGCCGGGTCGGACAAGCTTAAGACTCTCCTCCCTCTGCTGACCACAGGGGCACGGGAGAGCCCAGCTCAGTGCCTGTGCGGAGCAGACTGCCAGGCTCTTAGTAAGGGGAGGTGGGGCTGCCTCACCGGGGGCTGAGTGGTCCTTGAAGGAGGCGTTGACCAGTGGGAAGTGCAGCACGACAGGCGCGTCGGGGCAGGCGGGGTCTGAGAAGAGATGGCACTCCCGGGGCTGGCGTCGGTCCTTGGGGCTGGGCTCCACGCGGGGAAACGGCAGCCCCCGGGCCCGGAAGTCCAGTTCCGTCTGCTGCAGCACCTGGTGGGGCGGGGGCACCCAGAGGGAGCACCGACTACTTCCGGGTCATCCTATGTCAGCACTCTAGAAAATGCCAGTACAGCTCCAGTCCAAACGGACTGCTCCGGGCAACCTGGTTTTGTCCTCCTCATGGCCCAGTCAAGCTAAGTGGTGCCTCAGAGGGAGGCGAATGGTCCAGGCGGTCTGCAGTATTGTTTAGTCAGAATATTTAGGTGGGGTACAGTCCTAGCACCCCCACCCCCATTTGGGATTGCTGTTCTGTCTTATTCACTCTCAGATCCTCAAGTAAGCCCCTGTAAAGGACCCACTTCTGTCTCTTGGGCCTACCCACCTCCTTCCCCAGAGTCCCCGGGGAGGCCCCAGGGGGATGGATGCAGACAGGCCAGGCTTTCCTCTCACCTCTGTCCAGCACTTCCTCTTGGGGCAGGCATGATGAGTTTCCTCCCACCCACACCCCCTGTCTACCGTTCCTGGGAGCCCAGGGCCCCAACTCCTCCACAGCCCTTCCCAACCCTGGCAGGAGCCTGTGAGTCAGAGCCTGTCACTTCTCCCTCTCCTTGGCAACATAGAAAGTCTGGGTCAGTGGCCCTTTGCTCTCCCCTGGAGTGTGGCCTGGCTGGAGAGAGGGTCTGGGTTTCCCATGGGACAACCAGCAGTACCTCAAAAGGCGAGGATAGAGAGTAGTCGAAGGAGATTATGAGGTCCAGCCTGCGGCCTGGCCGGAACATGGCAGGACAGCTGGTGTTGATGAAGTAGCCAGCATCCACCAGGCAGAGCTGAGGCTCCTGCGGGGTCAGCTGGTTGGGAGAGGAGTCTGGCTGGCAGTCTGATGGGGGAGGCAGCAATAGTCAGGGGCAGCCACTCAGACACAGACCAACCACTCTCCTGCTTCATCCTGCATTTGCCTCCACATCTCCTTCTTACCTCTGTGTCAGTCCCTGAATGCATGTCATCCGAGCCTTTGGCAAGACCTTCTCTAAGCCACACCTCAGAGGTGGATGCTGGGACCTCCCCAAGACCTCTGGCAGCCCCAGCCATGTCCATCTCCACCCAGGAGCCAAACCTTGTTACCTGGAGACACATGGCATTGGCCCTTACCTGCCCAGGTGGTGAAGGCTTTCTGGGCACAGTAGTCCTTATGCATCTGGAGGCCCCGGAGGAAGTTGGAGCTGTGCTGATAGAGTGGTCGGCTGGTCAAGAAGCCTTTAAACATCTGGGCCAGTGCTGTTCCAGGCTGCATCCACAAGGTCTCTGGCCATGAGGAGGTCCCCGAGGAGGCAGGGGGCACCTCTGAGTCCAGAGAAACAGACGTTGNGGCCAGTGCTGTTCCAGGCTGCATCCACAAGGTCTCTGGCCATGAGGAGGTCCCCGAGGAGGCAGGGGGCACCTCTGAGTCCAGAGAAACAGACGTTGGTCCAGTGAGGGACTTGGAAATGCCTGGCCCTGCCTTATCCTGACTGTGCTCCCATCCCTACCCTGCAGCATCAGAAGGGGAAGCAGCCTCACTCCAGGCTCCTTACCCAGGTCCCTGATCTTGTCCTGGATGTGCTGCCTCCAGGCATCACCAGAGCTGGTGAAGTCGTACCAGGCATCCAGCAAGTTCAGGGAGAAAATGTTGCTCCAGATACCTGCAGGCCAAACCCCCAAGAGAGTCAGCCTCAGCACTCTGCCCCCAGTGGTCCCCACCCTTGATGGAGATGGAGAAGGAGAAGGAGAAGGAGAGGGGGAGCAGGCTGCCCCCACAAGGCCCTTCCCCACAACTCAATATCCACCCTCACTAGGGGCTCTGCCCAGGACTGGGCACAGGGGTCACGATCAGAGAGGCCTTGCCAAGGGACATCCGGGGCCTTCAGAGTGACAACCCCTCACCTTCCAGAAAGCAGATCCGGGACTCAGGGAGCCTCTTCATTAGCCGCCCCATGAAGAACTCAGAGCCGAAGAGCTCAGGAGGGACAAAGGCTCCATACTTCAGGAACCCGACCTCGTAGGGGGAGAACTCGACCCACTCTGAGGGGGCAGAAGGGAGAGGCAGGAATGAGAGGACAGTGGGCTTGGAAGGAGGGGCAGATCTGACAAGGGCCAAAGACACAGCCCCCCAGTAGGCCTCAGCCTCATGCCAGCCTGACTGACTCTTGTGCTGACCCCTTCCCTACTCAGCCTTTTGTCTACATCCTCAACCACCACAGCCCTTGCCCCAGACGGAGAGCCCTGCTGCTTGGCCCATCAGCCCATCCACACCACCGTCCTTCCAGGAGGTGGGCCACCTGTGCATCATGAGTGTGTGTGTGTGTGTCTGTGTGTGTGTGTGTCTGTGTGTGTGTGTGTCTGTGTGTGTGTTGGAGGACGCAATGAACAGGACTGAGAATGGTACCCTTGAAGTCCAGTGTCTGCAGATCGTTCTGTTTGACACTCAGGCTCAAGAAGAGAGGCAGAGGGTTCTGGCCCCGCTCCAGCGCAGCTCTCTGTCCTGACAGCTTCTGATCCACCACCTGGGATGCAGGCATGAGGGCCAAAGTGAGGTTGGCAGTACCCTGGTGACAGGGTTGGGGTACAGGCTGGGGGGAAGAGCCTGGGGGTCTGGGTGGGCACATGATGCAATTCCCACTCCTGCTCCTGTGTTTGACCAGCCCCACATGCAGGGTTGCCATGTAGGGCCTTGCAGGTTGTGAGCTGCATATCTGCAGACTGCCGTTCACAAGGACCACAGTGTCAACAGTGACAGCCACCCCTGCATCCTATGGTGCCAGTGGGCCCATCTTCATGAGTTAGAGGGTGGAGGGACCATGGATCCTCTGTCTCTCTCTCACACCCACACCCACACACACACACCCCCACACACAGCTTTCTGGAAAGGACTCAGGAATCCCCCTTTAGTGTGCATTGTTAGCTTTGCCAGGGGCTGTCCCTTCTAGGTAAACCTGGACACAGTTCAACCTTTAGCACCTCCCAAACACTCTTCTGACATCCTCACCTCCCCTCATCTCCTCTGTCCCTGTTTTGCACAGTATAAGCTGTACCCCACTCTTTATCCTTGCCTTCTATTTCTAGTTTTCCCTCCAGTACAACTCTGGCAAGGATTGTGGCTTGCCTTTTGGGGAAGCCTCCAATGAGCCTCACTGAATTCTAGTGGAACAGAAGGGTCTCCTTCTATCCTGGACCGTGATGCAAATGTGGCTCATCTCAAGCCTCGGTAAGGGTTCTGGTGGTGGCTGCCTGGAGCCCCACCTGGGGAAGGATCCTGCCGCCACAGGCCCTGGGCTGTTTCTTGTGGATTGGTACGTGTACCATGAATGCACCATCTCTCTCAGGCTCTCAGAGCTGTAAGGCTGAAGGTTGTCCCACTCAGTAGCTAGACCTAAGCGGTTCCCACCCGGCTGTATCAACCTCTATCATCAGATTTACTCAAAATGTGTGAGAAAAACAGATTACTGGGTCTCTTCTGAGAATCAGCAGAAGCCACTTAGGAATTTGGCTTTTGTAAATCTTCCCAGGGGATTCTGATGATGAGCCAGGTGTGTATCTAGCCCAGCCCAATCAACGAGCAGTCCTGCTCTTCCACCGATGACAAAGCCTCAGCACACCCCATGTGCTTCCCTATCCCCACAGCCCTCTGACTGAAGCCCATGAGCTCTGGGGCCGAAATTACTGAACCTGTGTACCGCAACTACTGAAGCCCCCACATCTAGAGCATGTGCTCCACAATAAGAGAAGCCACTGCAATGAGAAGCCCGTACACTGCAACAAAGAGTAGCCTCCCTCGCCACACCTAGAGAAAACCTGCACAAAGCAATGAAGACCCAGTGCAGTCACAAATTAAAATAAATAAATACAAATAAAATAATAAAAAAAGAATTATTTTAAAAAGCTCATAATCAAGGTAAGCTTTAAGAGCTAAAGCATGATGACTAAGGAAAAAAAGAAAATATTCGAAAAACATTTATATTGGGACAAGATTTTTAAAACTGCATGGGTGCTCATTCTAAGGGATGTGCTGTCATTCAATAATACCACAAGGATTTTTATTCTTGTGAGCAATAATAAAAAAGACTAATTAAGTTTGTCCTTTTCAAAATGACTACAAACTACATAAAACCATGCATTAAGTCATTACTGGAGGATCAAATGGTAATTAAATATGTCTTCTTTATAGCCTAGGATCAAAATGTACTTTCTAGTACCTCAAAAAGTGAGCTGTTAAAACAAGCTTTCCCTACCTATAGTAATTAATTGTTGCCACCAGGCAGAAAAGTCAGTTAATAAAACACTGCACCCTCAAAACCAAACATGAACTTAAACAGTAGAGCCAAAGAATACATAGGATATAGTAATAAAGTAAAAAGGTTTCAAGTAATTATGTTGATTTTATAAATTCCATGCCATTTCAACAAAAATCCCAACAATATATATCATGAGACTGGGCTGGCTGATTCTATTATGTATGTAGAAGGGCAAAGCACCAAAAGTAGCCAAGAAAATTCTGAGATCCAAGGTGGGGATAAATTTGCCCAATCAGAAACTGAGATTAATCACAAAGGTAGTTACTAAACCAGTGCAGGATGGGCACCAGGATCAAGATCGAGCCCCATTAGAATGAAATAAAGTGCTCAGGAAAAGTCCCACGAATGTATGAGTTGCTGTAGATTCATGCTGACACATGACAGAAGTAGCAATGTAGATCAGTGGGGATAATAAGTGATATTGGGGAAGTCTGCTATCCATGTGGAAAAAAATAAAATTGAATTCCTACTCATATAATACCTGAAGATAAATTCTGGGTAGATTAAAGCCCTAACTGTGAAAAAGAAAGATATAAAACTCATGTAAGAATATACAGAAAGATATTTCATAACTTTAGGGAAGGAAAAGATTTCTCAAGGAAACTCTAAAAGTACAAACCATAAAGGAAAAGAATGATACATTGGACTATATTGAAACTATGCATCAAAGTCTATTAGAACTGATAATGATTAATATCCTGAATTTATAAGGAATTCCTATAATATAATATTTAAAAGGTGAATTAACTAGAAAAGGATTTGAGTAGATAATCAATGTAAGAGCAAGCCCCAATGACAAATATACTTGAAAATGTTGCCTCATTAAAAATCAAAGAAATGGAAAGGTACAATAAAATTTCCTTTCATGCCCATAAAATAGACAAACATTTAAAAGTGAGAAGAGCATGTAGAGAAAAAGAAACTATAATACACTGGTAGTGAGAGTGTGAATTAACACAACCCCTTTGGAGGACAATTTGGCAATAGCTTAGGAAAGTTGAAGATACACTACCCAATGACCTAACAATTCCACTACTGGGTATGTATCTTCAAGGCTTAGAGAATCTTGAACACATGGGCACAAGGAGACTTGTATAAAACCATTGTGCAATTAATATTACATTTTCCTTAAGGATATATATATTTTAATAAAAGTATATGCAATAAAGGTGATCTATGAAAGTAGAAAGGTTTGTAAGATATTATGTTATGTATAATATAAAGTATACAGGTTACAGATATGTATGTGATAATAAATTCGGGATGGTGGTTAACTCTGGGGGTTGGAGGAAAATGGGGCTGGAGGGGACAGGGAGCTTTGGCTCTTTCTGTAACATTTCATGTCTTAGGCTGATTAGTGAGATCCTGCATATTCCTTATATTATTCTTTATGCTTTATGTATTTTCTTAGGTCTGAAAATTATTGTAAAAAACACTTATTAGGATTTTATAATAAATATTTTTACCTAATAAAAAATAAGAATGGTTGGTAATTTCTGAATAGCATTTTGCTTGCCAACAAGAACAAAATTAAAAGAAAAAATTTAAAACATTCACTTTTTGGTCCTTTACATGATAATCATTTTTGGTCAAATGCCTGATATCCAAAGATAAGAAAGGTAAGAATCTTTCCTCTGCTAGTATATTTGATAGTACTTTTTTGTTACTCATATTAAAATACTTTTTGTGTTTTAGTCACTTCAAAAGCATTAAGAGGAACTATAAGGGGTGAAACAACAAAAAACAATTTCACGATTTTTTTGTGGAAAAAAAAAAAGAAAACAATCCTGATTTTCATCATTGTATCAGTTAATGTAAGATCCAGAAGTTGACTTACTAAGCTTTTTTTTTCTTTTTTTAAAGAAGTAAGGTGTAAAAAAAATTTATATGCTCAGTTTTGTCTTAATGGTGTTAGGATCACAGTAAAGAAATAGATTTGCTGACACTTGATGCTTACCCTGTGCCAAGGCACCAGCAGTGCTCAGAACAACCCTGTGAGGTAAGTACTATTTTCATTCTCATTGTACATATGAGAAGACTGAGGCACAGAGAGGTTAAGTAACTTGCCTAAGGACACATAGCTAGTAAGAGGCCCTAGAATTAGAATCCAGGAAATCTGGCTCCACAGTCTATGCTTTTAACACTACCATGAAGTGAAGAATACATTTTATGTTACAGTATAAATAAAAAGCTGTTCCAAAAATCTCACTGACTCAAACACAATGCTTAACTGACTTTGGCGCTAACTGGTCCCGAGCTCTTGGGAGATCCAGAAATTTCTATTTCATGGGTAATTAATTGAAGAATAACCTGACTCAAAAAGTCAGCATTCCAGAGTCGGCAGACACTGAGGTACAGAGGTATGACTCTTCCCATATCCTTGAACAATGTACTGGCCTTTCGTTCCCGACAGGAAAGGCACATGGGCCTCAGCTAGCTGCAGGGCTACCCCCGCCCCACCAGTGTTCACACCCTCTGCCTCACACGCACAGGTGCGCTACCTGACCGTGCAGCATGAACTCCAGCACCAGACCCCACAGGTCCACGAAAGTCGTGGTGTGGCCCTGCTCAGCCCGCTGCGCCAGCTCCCGCTGGTAGCTCGCCAGGCGCTCAGGAGAGAAGGCCTCCAGCTTACTCTTGGCCAGGTGCTCCCGGACATGACTGATGGGTCCCTTGAGGTCCTTCTGCGACCACTCTGGGTCCCCATACAGATGGGCCATTGTCCTGAGAAAACAAAGGAACGTTACAGTAGGAGACCAAGGCTCAGCATGGTTGCTGCAACTCCAGTTTCCATTCTCTGACTTCTCCCAGCATGTGGTTCCTGCCACCAAACCCTGCCTGTCTGGGAGCTGTCTCAGGGTTTTCTCTCCTTGGTTGGCACTGTCCAATATAGAGTGTGAGCCACATATGTAATTTTCATTTTCCTAATGACCACATTTTCAAAAAGTTAAAAGAGACTGAAAGAATTAATTTTAACAGTATATTTCATTTAATTCAGTATCTAAACATTATCATTACAGCATGTAGTCAATATTTAAATTAATATAAATTTATAATTTTTCAAACTGTTTTTCAAAATTCGTTGCACATTTTATAACGCACCTCAATTTGAACAAGCCACATTTCATGTTATCAGCAACCACATGTAGCTGGTGGTTACTGTATTGTATAACACAGCTATAGGCCCTACTCCCATCTCTATATGTCTGTCCTGAAGCCCTTTAAGACACTGCTTGTCACCTAAACTCCTCTGAGGAGTTTACTCATCTTTTACTCCTTAAAGTCACATTTCAATAAGACTCAAAGGAATGAATCTCCAACAGTGAGAAGTCTCACTTCATCATAGGCAGAGTGGGGTATCAGGAGGCAATGCTACCTTTAGGTAAAATAACATCTTGTGACCTACATTTTCTCATCTATACTATAGGGTTGTGAGAGCTGCATGATAAAAAAGGCTGAGAGCCAAAGAATTGATGCCTTCAAAATGTGGTGCTGGAGAAGACTCTTGAGAGTCCCTTGGACAGCAAGAAGATCAAACCAGTCAGTCCTAAAGGAAATCAACGCTGAATATTCATTGGAAGGACTGATGTTGAAGATGAAGTCCCAATACCTTGGCCACCTGGCTCAAAGAGCCGACTCATTAGAAAAGACCCTGATGCTGGTAAAGATTGAAGGCAGGAGGAGGAGACAACAGAGGATGGGATGGTTGGATGGCATCACGGACTCAATGGACATGAGTTTGAGCAAACTCCAGGAAATAGTGAAGGACAGGGAGCCTGGCGTGCTGCAGTTGATGGGGTCCAAATAGTCGGACGCGACTGAGCGACTGAACAACAATAGGGACAATAAGGGAGACTACCGCAGAGAGTGTTGTGAGGATACAATGAGGTGACAACCGTTAAAGAAAAAAGAGCTACCAATTTGGAGTTCCTGATATGTGTCAGATATGTTAAGTGCTTCACTTGGGCTGTCCCACTCTAATCCTATGGTGTATGTGCTGTTATTACCCCCATTTTGGAGATGAGTCAACTGAGAATCAGAGGAAATAAGTTGCTCAGAGTCACTTAGTCAGTAAGTAGTGTTGCAGAAACTCAAAGCCAGCTCTTTCCAGATCAGCCAACCTATGCCTATTCAGTAGCATGGAACGGGTGACATGAGTCCTGCCTGACTCATGGCAGGACCTCTGATTGTCTATTTCTTCCCTTTAGAGAAAGCCATTTGGCATCCATCAGCCCATACCACTTGGCTTCCCCACAAAAAGGGTCCCATTGATGTCTTCTCCGTTTCCCCCTGGAGCCTGATCATCTCTGCTCTTCCAAGTCCCCAGGGCCCTCACCATGTAGAGCCTGAGATGCCACTGAAGTAGGTCACACAGTCCAGAAGGCCCAGCTTCTGCAGGGCCAACAGGTGGCCGTAGAGAGAGGTCATGGCCCGGGCGCCTCCTCCTGTGGCCATGATGCCTACAACAGGGACCTGGGTTGCACACAGACACAGGTTAGCTTAACAAGGACAGGGGTGGAGTGTCCCCCTGCCCCCAGGGATGGGACCTAGTGGGCAGGGCCTAAAGGGTTCAGGATTAGAGCCAGCACCTGCTTCTCCCCAGCAAGTAACAGCTCTCAGCCCTGGACAGGTCCCCAAAGAGAGTGTCCCCAAAGAGAGCTTCCCCACGCCCAATATCTCTCCCACACATGCCCATCCCCCAGCCTCTGCGACTCAAGTATCTGGAGAGGGCATAGCAGTCAGGAAGTCCCTTAGGGCCAGTGCAAGGTATCTGCACCCACGTCCCCCTGCCCCCACAAACCTCATCTTCCTGCAGTTCTCTATCCAGCTGCAGGGCCTGCTTCAGGGCCTTGGCCACCACCTGCTTCCTCCTGCTCAGGAAGGCTCTTTCCTCCGCACACAGATCAAAGCCCAGATGTACGGCCAGCTCCTCGGTGCTGGGGCAGTATAGGAGTCAAGGGTCAGGGGGCACCTGCATAGCTCAGCCACTGGTTGGTGAGGCCCACAGTGACTGCCGAATAAACTCCCTGCTGCCAACTCCCAAGACTGTTCTTTATACCACTCTCCCCGACCCCTGTGACTGCCCCTGTCTTCCACAGATATGAATGGCCCTTACCAGCTCTCAGCCTTGAGCTGCAGCTTCACTCCTGGGGCCTGAAATCAGAGTGAGAGACCCTACTCAGGATGTCCTAGACCCTGAGGGGAGTGTGGGTATCCCCTGGGGGCCTGCGGCTCCCCCATCTTTGTTCTCGCTGACACTTCCCATCTAGCTGAGGTCACTTACGTTTGTAGCAGGAACATCAATGGTCACCTCCTTCCCCATGGCCAAGGACCTCAGGGGCACAGTGAGGTGCCCAGCTGTGTTGCCTGAGTTCCAGCCACTGCTTATAGAGCTCTGGAAGAAAACTTTTGTTCACTCATTCATTTACTCAACAAATCCTCACTGTGTATCTAGACAGTGATCCAGACAGATATAAGCCCCCCTCTGATAATAAAAAAATAATTACAATATTTATAATTATTGTACTTATAATAATTACACAAATAACAGCTAACTGAATTATTTTGCTGTATATCTGAAACTAGCACAATATTGTAAAGCAACTATACTTCAATTATTATTCAATTAATAATAATTATAATAGCTTATATTTTTTAGTATATCAATGACTAAGAGTTATTTATTATTCTAACTGATTCATATGCATGAATCTACAAAAGAACAGGTAACAAACTGATGTTAGTAAGTATTGTAAAGGAAATAAGCAGTGTGATGTGGCAAAGTAACCAAAGGGCTCTATGAAGTCTACTTAAGATGGGAGGATCAAAGAGGACCTCTGGAGAGGTGCCATTTGAGCTGAGATCTAACAGAGCAGGAAGAGGAGGAAGAAGAGGAGTAGGCAGCCTTGGAAAGAGACAGGGGGACAGGAAAGCACTTGGGGTGCTGGAAAAGCAAGAAGAGACAATCATGGCTGGAGCATCATGAATGAGGGACACATGGAAGAAAATGAGTCAGCAGAGGTGTGTAGGGGTCAGGTTGTGTAGGGCCTGTGGACACAGACATGGGATTTTATTCTTAGAGCATTGTTGGAGGAGTCGTTAAAGACTTTAAACAAAGACTGACATGGCACAGGCCCCATGCCCAACCTAGGCCCTTGGCCATCCTCTTTGTGTGCCAAGGGCATAGTGCCTAACTGGGGGAGGCCAATAAGGCCACAGGGGCCTGACCTTGGCAGGGGGATGGCCAGAGAGAGGCCTGCAGCAGCTGGAGCTGGCTCAAGGCTGGGGCTGGCAGGTAGCTCCAGAGCCAAGACCTACCTTCAGGCACCCACTCAGCTCGGCCTCTTGGGCTGCCATGTAGTGGAAGCAGAAGGCAGAGGCTGTGCCCAGGGCAGTTGTCTGCGTGTCCTCATAAGAGCCCTTCAGCACCAGCTCCAGCTCATCCTGATCTAGGGAGAGAGAGGGCAGACTAGCACAAGGAAACAAAAGCCCAGAACCCCAGCTAGGATCCAGTACTGCCCAAGACGTGGGGAGGCCGAGCGGCTGGACCATGGCAGACAGCATTCTGGAAAGAGCTCTGCCCACAACCCCCATGGGACTCCCACCACCTGTGACATGCCTTCCCCCAGTTCAGCGGGATTCTAATGCCCAGAGGAGCTCCGTTGCCCGTGTGCTGTGTGGGCAACCTCCTGCTGTGCAGGTTCCCCAGCCACCCCCGTCCACCCCCCACATTCCAAGCAGAGGCCAGACCTTGTCCTGAGCAGGTCTCACCTGCAGCCACAGCCGTGCTGACGACATGGACATCCAGGCGCGACAGCTCTCGGGCCTGGGGCAGACCACATTGTGGACAGGGGACTCTGCATGGGAAGCTGAGGTCCCCTCAACCTCACCCCCGGAGTCCCACTATCCCAAATCCACTGCACCCAGAACCAGAAGTGGAACCGGATGCAGAGACCTCTCACCCTACCTCTGGTCCCGGAGCAGCCAGGAAAGCCCCGTCTCCACCCAACCTCCCAGCCTCCTACATTTGCCAAACTTTTGACATCTCTGAAAGCCCCCCAGCCCTCAGGCCCAGTCCTTTCTTCTCTTTCTCTGCAGACTCAACCTGGAGGAGGCATTCTATTATAACTGCTCCCAAATAATATTATGCAACCTGCCAGTCCACAGGATGATGGACTGGGTCAGAGAAACAAAGCCTTAACATTTTAGCCACTGAAACATCTGACTGCCGTCTAGTTGACTGCCCTGCCAAGGGAGTCTGCTGCGTTCTCTCTGTACCGCCTACTAGCTGGAGCCCACAACCCACTGTCCTCTCTTGTAGAACTGCTATATTCACAGCATGCCACTGGGTTCCATCACCTCATGAAAGACAGCTGCCACAGGTGTGGCTCTTTTCAGGGTATTTGAAAAAGTAATACTAGCCCATCAAACAGACACTCGTAGGACCCCGAGGGTGGGTGCTCACTTCAGTTCTAAACTCCAGTGGCCTGACTCACCACAGACAGGGCCTGGCTTGGCTCCCAGGTCAGGGCTGTATTGCTGGTTGGGAGCTTTGCTTTGAGTAGAAAGTTTCTAATCATCACTCACCACCCATCCCTGTCCACTGCAGCTCTGTGAGCTTGCTGTGTTTTGGGAGAGGGGAGGAGCTGGTTGATCCCTGACTCTATCTCAGGGCTCCCAGCTTGGAAGCATGCCACACTGGAAAGGCCCTCTGAGGTTTATTACCTGAATTTTCGCAGCCTGAGCCTACTGGCCTGGCCTGCCAGTCTTCGTCGCCACCTTCGGGGCTAATAACTATGAACTCATTACACATGACTAAGCACCATCAGCCTAAAATTCCCCAAAAGCTCCCTCAGAATTCCTCTCAGCAGAGCCTCAGCCTCCCCTCTCTCCAAGTGCCCTTGAGGCCCTTCCAAGCCCTGCAGCCCAGGTGACCACTTAGTAGGAAGCCAGGAAGTCTTACTGCAAAGTCCTGTCCTCGCCTCACCCCTTCTGGCCCACCCCCTAACCCTACCCTCCACCTCTACCCTGGTGTCTGTTCTGGGTCCCTCCCTCAGCCTCCTTGCTTCCTGTTCCCACACAGGTGTGGGGAAGGTGGTTACCACAAGCACGTTGTTGGTGATGAGGTTTTCCGGGCGGTCTGACCTGGAAAAATCAAACCATCCAGAGTGCAGTCTTGCAAAGGCCAATGTTTCCTGCGCTGACGTCCCCCTCTTAGCTCGGGCTGCACCCAGATAGGGCCTCCTTGAATGACAAGGAGTGTTCTCCGAGTCCTGGATATGACTCTTCGGGGTGTGGGGAGATGCTTCTGAAGAGCGGGAGGTGGGGAGGGAGGGGGAGAGTGGGGCAGAGAAAATACCACCTTCTTCATTTCACTTCTCTAATAGGGTCCCCTCACCCTGACTGGCAGGGGTGGGAGATGAGGAACAACGCATCTGTACTGGACAGACCAATGGGAAGATCTGGATCAAGGATATTTTCCTCAGGAGAGCCTTGTACTGAGACACTCCCTGGGCTGGGTGGTAGCACTCACATTTTCTCAATCAGGAACTCCACGTCCAGCTCCTCCGGTCCCTGAAATTAAAGATGAACCAGTTGCCAACATGCCCATGTGTCTTTGGAGTTGGCACAGCTCCATTACGTGTGTCGTCTCATCATCTCAAGCCACCTCCAAGGGAGGCATGGTGTTACAACAGCTCCCATTTTACAGATGAGGAAATCAAGTCTTAGGGGAAAATGGGCTACCTGCCCAGGTTACCCACAGCTGGCAAGGCTGAAGGGGAAGACGAGGGACACAAGCCTAAAGAGGCTTGAAGAGGCCAAGGGTCCATTTCATCTTCCTCTCAAGGGGGACCAACCCCAGAACTCTGCTTTCCACGCCCCCAGGCTTTGCCTGCTGCAGAAAGAGCACAGACCATCATGCAGGCCTTGGGAGGGTCAGAGTGGTGAGCAGGAGTGATGAGCCCGCACCTCCTGAAGAGCTGGGCACACCCAGCTGTGTTTGTGGCACATGAGGAAGTTTTCACATCATCCCAAACCTTCCTTCCCTGTAGAAGACTAGAATCCTTCATTAAGTGATTCAGCTGATAATAGTCAAGTTAAGCCTCCTCCTTTCCTATTAAAATGTGAAAATCTCTGGGAAGGGCCTGGCAGCGTCTCAATAGACAGGAGAAACTTCGCAACTTCCTCAGCCCGGAGCTGAGAGGTGGGGCCGGTAGGGACCCCCACCCACCTGGGCACGCAGGGAGAAGGTCTTCCGGAGCAGCCTTCCAGGGAGGAGATCAGAGACATCATAGAGAACCTTGAACCAGGCGTCATCCTGCGTGACTGTGTCCTCATCATAGAGGGTCAGCTCCAGAACGTTCTAGGGACCCGAGAACAACAACTTAGCACGTTATTAACTCATAGTGTGGCTCACAACTGTTGAGCCCTCACTTGATGTCAAGGGCAAGAAAAGATTATTATGCCTTCACACTTTTTACTTCAAAATAAAAATAAAGGTAAAGCCTGAAAGTGGTTAAGGAAATCAGCAAAGTTCTTAACTTACCCCTGTTAATTTTTGTTTTTATAAGAAATTAAATTCTTTCAAAGAGTTTCCCCGATATCAGTTCCATGCCTGCTTTGCTGGTTCCCTAAGGTACGGTAGGTCCCAGGCACTTACTAGGAGTCTTCCATGCACGATCTCATTTAACCTCAAACAACCAAGTCAGGAGGGCTCTTATGCTTCCTCTCCATGGACTGGCTTAGGGAGGACCATCACCTTGTCATTCACGTATCCTCTCGCATACAGCACATCTAGGCTGGAGCACACAGACACCCCATTCCCCAGGGTCTCTGCCTGAGCCCCACCCCAAAACATTCGTGTATGCGGTACAACCTGTCCTCAGGTGGGTGGCCAGGGATACCCTGACCTTTACCTTGACCTGACTCTGGATCAGGAAAGTGAAGGTCTCGTTCCACACAGGATGACTGGAGTTGGTAACTGTTTTGGTCTTAAACTTCGTTCCAGGTGCGGTTGGCAGCTGTAGGACCACATAGGGGTCTGCCTCGCTCACTGCCAACATCAAGGGAGCCGTTGTGAGAGAGAATTCCTCACATCACTCTCCAGGGGCCTCACCAGGTTCCTCCCAAGATCCCTGCAGCCACTCTGGGCAGCCCAGCCCAGCCCAGCCCAGCCCCTAGGCACTTGCCTGGGCCTTTCCCACAGGACCCGGCAACCCCACCTCCCCAGAGCCCAATTCACAGTTACTCACACAGGTCAGCCCAGCCCAGGCCCCGTGCCTCCAGGACCCTCACGGTGAGCCGCCAGCAGGTAGAGGCCTCCCTCTGGAGAGAAATAGACCTCTGAGTCCCTCCTGCTCAGGCACAAGCCCCACTGATCAGTACCTGAGATGCTTACTGATGCCGCCAGGCGTTGCGGGGCCAAACAGCCTTTGCCTACCACTGCCCTTGGGGCTGTGGCTGTCAGAGAATGGCAGACCTCAAAGGGGGTAGAATTTGTGAGAACCCTTCCCTGCAGGGGCAGGATTGCACAGTATAAGGAAGAATGCAGGAAATGAAGGGCCAGGGGATGCCCACCTTACTGGACATGTCAGTTTGGGGTCAGCCACCCCCAGAGCTCCCAGGAGGGCAGCCCCTTGGTGAAGCATGTGACCCGGCTGCCCAGTGTCCCCCCAGCCCTCTGGAAAGGAAGTGGGCATGTGACTCAGGAGGCTGAGTCCCAGGGGCCCAGTGCTCCCTCACGGCCTCAGGTACCAACCCTTTCTTGGGAGTGAATTGGGAAATTCCAAGAGCATCAGGCTATTACCATGTGCAGGGGGCAAAATGTATTAAGACGACGTGTGTTAGTCGCTCAGTCGTGTCTGTTTGTGACCCCATGGACCTTAGCCCGCCAGGCTCCTCTGTTCATGAAATTCTCCAGACAAGAATACTGGGGTGGGTTGCCGGTTCCTGTTCCAGTTAAGATGATGGCGAGGCCATATCAGCCCACAGAGAAGCCCAATGAGATGGGAAAAGAAACTGAAAGGGCAGAAGCTCCGAGGGGCCAAGAGGATGAGCAGAAAGAGGTGGCAGGAAGAAAAGCAGAGGGCAGGTGGGGTGTGGCTGAGTCCTGCCCAGGGACATGGCCCTTTTCGGGGGGTGGGGGGCAGGTATCCTCAACCCCTACCGCTGAGGTCCTTGGCACTGCTGGGATCTAGGGGGCCACCGGGTTTCTGTTCTTCCTGGTGCCCCGCTGGGTAGTTTTTCCTGGGCACCCTGCACACATTTCTTATGATAAAACCCTGCCATCTGAGGCAGAGGTGATACCGTGCTTGCAGGGTCAGGAGATAGCACTATGATGAAACCAAAGCTCTTTCCTGTGCTGCATCCTCCCACCACCAGTCCTGCTTCTGTGCATGTGATTCGAAAGCCTTGGCTCCTGCCAGCAATCATCTCTGCCCTGCATAGGTGCTCCCTGCCCAGGGCTGGCTCAGCGTCCACAGGACAGGCTCTCCAAGCCCCACAGAGAGGTTTAAAGGACAATGGGCCACAGCAAAGTCAATCAGGCTTGTGCCCCTGGGTCCTCAATCCTCCCTGTCCTGTGGCTTCTGGCTGAATGTCTTTGTCACCCCAGTCAGTTCTCTGGCAGAGCACACATGACCCTCCCAGCAAGGTAGACTGGTTTCTCCCTTCTCCCCCGGATTAGTGGCAGCAGTGACACCCACAGGCTGTAAGCCAGAGGTTGCAATTGACAGGGATTTAGTGACTTTTTAGACACCTGGCTCCATTTCCTCCCCACACCAATTCCATCACCATCCACCATGGAGAAGGTGCAGGTTGGGACCTTGGTCCCTGTGAGGAGTTGTGCTCCAATGCCCACTCCATGCTGGGGAGAGGTAGAGGCAGCCCCAGACCCCCCGATTCTCAGGGCCACAGCCTGTGGGCTACTCTAAAGCCACTTGGGGCTACTAAGAAGCATCCCAATTGCTTGCTTTCCAGCCAGCCACCCTGCCCATTTTGGATGTTGCTGCCCATTTTCCCCTCTGGTCATTGAGAGCCTCTCAACCTCAGAAAGCCCATCATTCCCTGGAGGATCTCTTTCCTAGGGTGAAGTCCATTCTCTTCACCTCTAAGAGAGTCACTAATACAGCATCTGGAGGACGGGCTGTGACAGTCACTACAATGACTGGTCATTGCTGGGGTAGGAGAACAGAGTGATCAATGCAGGTGTCCAGCTAGGTTATTTGGATCCAAACTGCTTACTTGCTGTGTGACCCAGGACAAGTTACTAAACTTCTCGGTGCCTCTGTTTCCTCATTGTATTGGGACTAATAACAGTATCAACCTGACACAGTGTTTTCAGGCTGAATGTGTTAATGCCTGTAGAATGCTTAGCAAAAAAGTAAGTAGTTTCTAGACAATTGTTCTTATTACTATTAATACTTATTAAGTACTTGTTATGTTTATGTTTCTAGGTGCTATACTAAGCATACTACATATTCAAACTCAGTTTATTCTCCTGACAGTTTGTAAGATAGTTCTCTCATTTCACGGATGAGAGGATTGAGACTCAGCAAGGTTGACTTGCCCTAGGTCACAGAGATAGTAAGTGACATGGTGATTTTGTCACTAAGTCATGTCTGACTTGCAACCCCATGAACTGTAGGTAGCCTGCCAGGCTCCTTTGTCCATGGGGTTCTCCAGGCAAGAATACTGGAGTGGTTGCTATTTCCTTCTCCAGGGGATCTTCATGACCCAGGAATTGAACTTGGGTCTCCTGCACTGCAGGCAGTTTCTTTACCAACTGAGCTATCGGGGAATCCCCTGGTAAGTAAGTGACATAGTTAGGATTCAAACCCAGGCCTTCAAGGCCAGAGCTCACAATCCATAAGAAGGTTCTTAGGACTTTGCTTCTTTGTAAAACCATGCAGATTTCCCCCTCTGCCCTGTGGATATCTAAACATTAGAATTTCATAGATGCATTTTAGACAAATAGGGTTATTGAGCCAACTAACATGTCTTTTCTCTCAAGAGTTCTGGGGCTTCACCTTCCCTGTTGAAAGACCCTCCCTCCTGGACTACTTCATTCACTAAAGACTGACAATGGACGTTTTTGGAGGATCTCCTGAAGGGCCCCCTGGCCCGGCTTCCTGTAACATCCTGGGAGTGCCTCCTTATTGAGAGTCCTAGACACCCTCTCTCCCCCTGCTTGGTGACCCCAGGGCCTCCTCCATAGCTCAGCGCTGGCCCTGGCTCAAGGGAGACTGAGGGGTGCTGGAATCCCCAGACTGGGGTACAGAGGACCTATGACAATGAGGTCTTCAGTTGGGAGAGACAAATGAGCAGGCTGCCTTTTCTCCCTGCCGGCACCCAGTAACCTGCCTATGGGAGGCTGGGGAGACCAGGAGTGGGAGCTGCAGGCACAGCTTCCAGCCCTGAACCTTCTGAATCAGGCTGAGATGATGCTCCCGAACGGCACAATTGGCCCATCCCAGAGCAAGTCCTGGATGCCCCGGCCTGCCCCACCAGCCACACTTCTGCTGCCAAGGCAGGCTCCAGTTTCCCCTTCCAGCAGGTGAGAGGTGGGGTGAGGCTGCTCCTGAGGCTTATCTGCCCGTGGAGCCAACTTGAAGGCCTTGGGGATTCAGCCAGTCCCAGGACCGTCAAATAAGACGCTTCCCAGGTGTGTTGGTAGAATCAGGCTCCCAGGGCCTCTGAGCCAATTTTGCCCCTGGGCCGGGCCTAGAGAAGGCAAGGGTAGAAGAGAATGATGTCCAGCCTTCTCCAGGGAGATGAAGAGGAAAGTGGATGCTTCGGACACCTCCACAGCTGGGTCCTGGGGCTCAGGTTCCTATTGGAGCCCAGCCCTTCCACCTTCCTGATCCCGCAGCCTTGAGTTCCCCTTAGCCCACATCAGGGCATTTCCATAAATGTCTGCCTTAGAAAGGGTCCTCCAGATCTCAGGCTGACAGGGGCTGGGACAGCAGGTGTCCTGCAATGGAAGGGTCCCCCTCTGTCTTCTCCAGGAGTCCCTGGTGCCTGGCCTGCTCCAAACAAATCTTCAGGAGCATCAGGTTGGAACTGCTTACCTAGCTGCCACTCAGACCTGGATCTCAGGGCCAAGCTCCAGAAGCCTGGCCAGCTCTTGAGTGAGATAAAAGCCCCTGGACAGTGAGCTTGACATTTTTCATGGCCCCTGGCTGGGGCAGCAAGGGAGACCTGAGGAGCCGGTCCTTCTGGCTTAGGTCTGTGGCCAAGATTGAAGAGTCTCGGCTGAGGGAAAGCACCAGTGGGGTGAGAGCAAGCAGTCTGTAGGCCTCTTTGGCCTGGTTGCAGCTTCATAGCTCTAGGGCCTGGAAAATAATTTGAGGGTGGGGATTTGAGATGGCATATCTCCTGAGATGCACAGGGTGGTTCCTGGGTTCTAGCTGGATCCAGGAATTCCACTGCCTGCGGTAGTAGGCTGTGGACCTGGTGGGGTCTCCATCTGTGACACACAGACAATGTGTTCTCTGATGTGGTGTGTGAGCCTTCGGAGGAAGGAAGGGGTGGGGCTCTAAGGGGCTGCCTGGTTGTTCGCGGTGGACTCTGGTCTCCTGGGGCTTACTTCTATGGCTGTTAATCACCCATCCCACCCACTCACTATCCCTAAACACAGATTCCCTCACCTTCTGCCTTCCTCCTTCAGTCTCTGCCTAGGCAGAGACCCCCGGTCTAGGACCCTGCCCCTCCCCAGAGACCAGAATCACCTTGGTTTCAGCTGTGTCAAGCTCTTTAGATGCACCCTGGCTCCAAGCCCTGCCCTGAGTGATGCCAACAGGCTCGGTGGCGTTATTACCTGGTGAGGATGGCCAGGTGGTCCCCTAGGTGTCAGTCTCTCCATGCCGACCCTTTGGCTCCACTCCAGGCCCAGCCAGGATGCCAGCTCCCTGGCTGGCTGGCAGCGACTGCTCCAGTGGGATGGGACTGACTGTGAACCTGCCAGCCTCGAGGAGCAATGATCCTATAGGGAGACTGGGCCCCACCTCCAGGTCACTCCCTCAGCCCAGCACCTTCTCCTCTTCCTCTGGAAGCTGAGTCAACTCTCTTCTCCAGAAACTTCTGGCAGGGCTCCAGAACCTGCAGGTGAAGCATCCCTTCCAGACCTGGGGGGTCAGGATACCAGAGAGGGGAGTACTCCTAGGAGTAGCAAAAGGGCAGCCCCAGAGGCAGGCGCTGAGCAGATTCTGGCAACCTAGCTGCAGGGGGCTCTGGACTCTGGTCCTAGACCTCTTATCCCTTCCATGCAGCTGGTTCTAGTGACAGTTCACTCCTCTAGGGGACTGTAAGTAGACAAAATATGGGAGACCCCTGTAAATTAAAGATTACTCACGAAAGCAGATCTGCTTAACCACAAAACCAAGCAGGCTTGCTTAGCAACAAAACCAGGCAGCAGAAGCACAAGGAAGGCCCCCGAACAATAATGGTGGCTTGAGACCTGCATTCTGCCCAGTGAGCTCAGTAAGTTAATGACCCCTAGGACCTGCTTTCTGTTCTGCACGCATAAAAAACAGTAACATGGGCACCTAGCTAGGGACAGGAAAGGGAGGGACAAGAAGACTAACAGGTAGGGACAAGAAAACTCCCCTGCTCAACCTGGAGGAGCAGCTGATGATGAAAGCATGGCATCTATTCAAGAATGAGGAATAAAATGGTGTTCTCTCCCTTCCCAGTTTTCCTTTGAATGTGAAACTGTAGCCCACTAACTTCTCCAGGGCATCCCCTCTCATCCATTTGCTTGTAAGCCTTGTAAGTGTCCTATTTTAACATGTGCATGCACACTCAGTCATGTCTGACTCTTTGTGACCCCATGGACTATAGCCCACCAGGCTCCTTTGTCCATGGGATTTCCCAGGCAAGAATACTGGAGTGGGTTGCCATTTCCTTCTCCAGGGGATGTTCCTGACCCAGGGATTGAAGCCATGTCTCTTATGTCTCTGCATTGGCAAGCAGATTCTTTAACCACTGAGCCACCTGGGAAGCCCCTCTTCTAATAAATTGTTCTTATCTATCACTTTGTGTCTTGCTGAATTCTTCTCTACTCTAGACATAAAGGACTATCATACTAGAGTTCTTGGGAGCCCCCTAAAGGACACCAAATGGTTTCACTTGGAGTTTAGAGGAATTTCTGTTAAAATTCAATGGCAAGCTTTGTAGTAAAGGTAAGAGACCAATCAGAAAACTCTTAGATTATGAATATGATAGAAAAAAGCTTTGTGAAGTACCTGTTAAACTATTCATTATGCACACGCTGACTTAAAAAATAGGCACACCATGGGAGTTTTGAGTCAAGTTTTATTGGGAGCAAAATGAGGACTACAGCCCAGGAGAGAGCATTCCAGACAGCTCTGAGAACCTGCTCTGAGGAGGCAAAGTGAGGAGCTGGGACATACAGGAATTTTGCAACGAAATGCAGGTGGCTAGGAACATCAAATGATTACTGTCAATTAAAGAAACCAGATATATTAAGTTAAGAAATTTAGTGCTTTTCTATGTATGGGAAGATGCAAGGGCCTGGGCTCATCAAAATCATTTTTTGATATGCACCTCAGCTATCTGGGGCCAGTATCCTGTTTTCTCACATCCTGAGTTTCCTCAGGGTTCACGATACAGAGAGGCTGCAGTCTTATGACTGCTAGGTGGCAGGTTTTCTTTTCTTCCTAAGTTCCTTCAGGACTCACCAGCTCACCATCCATGGTGGTTGCAATCCCCGATGACTGTGACATCTTTTTTTAATGATATGGCAGAAGATATTGCATTTGTCTCATGACATGATGTGTTCTCCTGATATATCGTGAACTTAGTCCATCCTAAAGGAGATCAGTCCTGAGTGTTCATTGGAAGGACTGATGTTGAAGCTGAAACTCCAATACTTTGGCCACCTCATGCGAAGAGCTGACTCATTGGAAAAGACCCTGATGCTGGGAAAGATTGAGGGCAGGAGGAGAAGAGGATGACAGAGGATGAGATGGTTGGATGGCATCACTGACTCAATGGACATGAGTTTGGGTAGGCTCTAGGTGTTGGTGATGGACAGGGAAGCTTGGCGTGCTGTAGTCCATGGGGTCACAAAGAGTTGGACACGACTGAGTGACTGAACTGAACTGACTGAGTGATTTTACTATCAATTCATTATATAACTGAACAATAATGATTTGTTTTTTTGAGGCAAGTGAAACTAAATTAATATTAACCTATTGAAAGTAGATTGAAAATATATTATTACAGAATCAGCCAGAAAAGAAAATTAATAATGGTTCCATGAAAAAGCAAAACATAATTTGAATGAGAAATAATTCTAAATTTGCACGAACCAGGTATAAACTCTAATGAAAAAGTAAAGGTAAAATGTTGAGAACTACAAAGAACAACTTATTTATTCAGATTTTGTCACAGATGAAGCAATGCACAAAGTCACTGGCTGGTGAATGGCAGAGTTTAAGATTATACTCTCTAGACTGAAAGCCCCGCCTCTACCCCAGACTGGGCTCAGACCTTCAAAGCTCATTGGTGCCCTCCATGGGCAAGGCCGGTCCCACAGCAATCCCAGGACCACAGGAGTCCTGAGGAAATACATCCCTCTGGAGAGTGAATTTACATCTACCTGAACTGATGCAGGCCTCATCCGGAACCACTTGTGGGCATTTCAGAGGCAATAGGTTCTTGTGACCATTCATATGTGTTAGTAAAATCTGCAAAAGTAAACTACATTATCTACAGCTGTGAAGAACACTGTCTTCCCACTCTTTTTTCTCCTCTGTCAGCATTAATGCAACAGTGGTATTTTTAGGATCTGACTAAGGAGAATTCAGGTTAGAGACATGTACATAAATTTCAGCACAGTGGGACATAGCTACGTGGTTTCCTGTATAGTGACGTGACTGTCAGCCATTCTGGTTTAGAAATAGTTTCCAAAATACTCCTACCACGCACTGTACCAGCTTGCCTGGCATTGTGACACAGGTGCAAGGCAGACATTGTCCCGCAATACAAGGAGAATAGGATGGAGGGAAAGAAATAAGGTCTGAAACATACAGACCAAAACTAGTCTGTGGAAAATTCATCCACTCAGAAATAGGAATCCCTAAAAGGAAGATATAGGTTTTGTTGAAACATGGTCAAAACAGAAGTTCTCTCCTGAAAGAGATGTTTTCAATCATGTCTTAAATGCCCTTTTCCCCCTTTATTTGGTGGGGGTTTCAAGAAACAGGCATTATCCTACTCCTGTACCACAAGTAGCTAGCACATCTACAATTGCTCAGATATGGGAGAAATTTGATAGAGGTTGTAGCAGATTTTATTTTTCTAAAGATGGCCACAGCAATGTCTCTTGTCCTCATGATCTTCTGGAACCTTACCTCTCCCTTATCAAGAGGTGAAGGCAGGACTTCTCTGGTGGTCCAGTGGTTAAGAATCTGCCTTCAAAGGCAGGGGACACGGGTTCAATCCCTGGTCTGGGTAGATTCCACAGGCTGCGGGGCAACCACTGAGCCTGCCTGCCCCGTGCTCTGCAACAAGAGAAGACACCAAAGTGAGACACCCTCGCACCACAACTAGAGAAAGCCTGCAGGCAGCAAGGAAGACCAAGCACAGTCAAAAAAAAAAAAAAAAGAGGTGGAGGCAGATTCCCCTTCTCTTGAATCTGTTGGGCTGGAGGCACTAACTAATACATTTTGAGGAACTTGACTCTGCTTAATTCCGTGGTTAGATCATAAAAGACCATGCAGCTTCTCCTTGACAGCTGGCACGCTCCCACTGAGAGCCACCATGACAGATGTCTGAGTCATGGAGCTTCCGTGCTTTGAGGAAGCCAGGGCACATGGAGAAGCCACGTGTCCTTGTCCCCGGGCCCTCCCAGCCCAGGTCCAGGCATGGGAACACATGAGCCTTCAGATGATTCCAGCCTGGCTATTGAGTCATCCCCAGCCTGTGCTCTTTCTGAATTTTTGACTCATGAAATCTATGAACCTAATGAAGTGGTTGCTGTGTTATGCCACTAAGTTTGGGATGGTCTGTTCCTTAGCCAACTTAGTAACTAAATCAGAGCTTTTTCTCAAATTTGCTAAACATCCTCAAGTTTTACATGGCATTGTCAATGAGCTGTGAGGCAGAAAGAAAGTGAATAATTAACTATTGCTATCAATAATTTAAAGACAGAATTTTGTTCTCCCAGGCTAGGGGAAGATTGCTTTCTATTTGCTCTAAAGAAAATGATTTTACAAAATTGTGGTTGAATAAAGAGGCTACCGAGGAGTATGAAACCAAACAATGAAAGAAAATGTATAGAGGTTAATTAATAAAAATATTATGTTGGCTTCCAAATTTTTGTGATGTTTTGGCATTTGTCAACAATTTGTATTTTTACAATTTGTATTTTTTAAATAAGTTTACTTATTTTTGGCTGCACTGGGTCTTTGTTGCTGTGCGGACTTTTCTCTAGTTGTGGTGAGTAGGAGCTGCTCTCTAGTTGGAGCGCATGAGCTCCTCATTGCAGTGGCTTCACTTATTGCAGAGCACAAGCCCTAGGGTGCACGGGCCTCAGTAGTTGAGACACATGGACTCGGCTGGTGCGGCTCTGAGGCTACAGAGGACAGGCTCAATAGTTGTGACGCACAGGATTTGTTGCTCCATGGCATGCGGTGTCTTCCCAGATCAGGGATTGAACCCATGTCTCCTGCATTGGCAGGTTAAATAAATTCTTTACCACTGAGCCACAGGGAAGCCCTACAATTTGTATTTTGTGTGTTATTACTTTATCTAATTTTGTATCAACTTGTAAACTTTGGGCTCCATAAAACATGGATCTAACCTGTGTGTCATATTGTTCAAAGCACTTCACTTATA